AAAATAGCTGTAATGTGATATGAATATTAACCCTGCTTTGTACTAGACAACACTTCGTTTTACTTTCTGTCCTGGTTAATATTACATCAGCCAATAAAATTTCAGCCTTCATATTTTTGAAGGTGTGGATCAATCCGACAAAACCAGAGAATCCCAATGGTCTTGAATTGACCTTTTTCAGATCGGCGTAAGCAAAGCTTGAACACACAATACCTGTAATCTAATCAGATTGGTGTTTAAATGAACTTAAACACTGCATTTATTTATTGTTTACTGAAACCTGTTGTTCTCTTACAGATAGAGAGTTGTATTTTGAATTTTTCAAAGTGAAGATTTACGGCAGCGGCTTTTAATATTTTGTGTTTATCCTGGAAACTATAATAGATTTAAAAAAAAATAATGCAATGTGTCTGAGTAAACTCTATAGTAAAGGTCCTTTTTGGGCAATTTTGGCTCTTCAGAGTTTTGTTGTTTTATTGGCTATTATCTTGATAATTTATCTATAGAGAAACCTTTTTTTGAAAACTGGTATAGACAAGAACAGATATAATCAGAGTAGTGAAGTACTGATCATCGGATGACCGCAAATTCTTGTGGATGGTCACAAGCACTTGTCCCAGAAAAAAAATCATATCTGTACCTGAAAGTAATGTTAATGTACAGAGATATATTTTTTTTCTGAGACAAGTTCGTGCGTGGATGATGAATAAATGTTCGGGAATTCAACCTCACCGTAATAACTATTATATTGTAGTGGTACACATTATATATTATTAATCTGTGATCTAAAAAAAAATATTTTTATGAGTATTCATTGTAGAAATAAACTTATAACAAGCGATAAGGAATGTTATTTTGCACTCTATAATGTCCGTATTTATAAATCGGTTACAGGTTAAAAACGAAAGCTACGTAAGTAGAAATCTCTTTGGTAACAATACATCGGAATGTTAAAATAAATAAATAAGTAATAATTATGGTAATATTTTCTTTCATTGGGGGTGGGGACGTGTGAGGAAACAGTGGAATTTCTCTTCTTTTTTTTTCAAGTCTACACCTTGAAGAAGGAAAAACAGTCAATAAATACCCCCTTTTCCAAAGACCTACAAATTTCAACCCCCATCCCCCCCCCTCTTCCCAAAAAAAGCCACCACCGGACAATTACACACAAACGCACATACACACATTTTCAATACTTTTGTTCGTAATAACAAAAAAATTGTATTAAGTTTCTAAATGCATTATAAGTTTAAAATATTGCGTCAGTAGTGAATCTAGAACTTCAAGTGTGGAAGTTGTTTGCGACTTCACGAACTTAATTTAGATTTGCCGGTTATGGTCTGATTAATATTTACCACACCTTCATTCGATATTAGCTTCAGATGAAAAATTTTCTGCTAGCGAGATTGTTGAAACTAAGGATTCAGGTCGCCATAACATTATACCGCAAATCTATAACTATATAAATTTGAATGCACCTTTCCATTAAAAAAATTATGAAATTAAAGGCCCCTTTTATTTCTTCCTATCCCTCTTTTTTGGGTTACAAATGACTGGTCCCTTATATAAGCCATTACCCTATCAAAGTCCGATTTTTTCCCATTCTTTTGTGTCATCTTGAGAATATATAAAGAGAAACTCGAAGAGCTAAAATAATCAGAAAGGCAAAATTTACATTAATGTACATACTAGAAATTCGTGTATTAACTTCTTATAGATTATTTTTTTATGGTGTACAGAAATTGACAAATATAATGCCCTCCCTTGTTAAAATGAGCATAGAGCATGAAATAAAAGAATTATTTCTTAAATTTAATAATTTTAACCGTATGTTCATTATTGCAGACTCCGTATGTTTATTATTTTAGACCAATCGATTAAAACAAAACGTTGCAATTCATATATTTTGACATTTTTCCAACAATATCAGGTGTGATTTTTTACATCTGAAAACGAGGTACTAATATGCCAAGGTTTATCTCTTTTTAAATCTGAACCATTTTCCAAACGACAGCTAAAAATTTGAGCCTGATTAATTGTTACTCCGCAGAAGCAGATCGGAATCAGTTCTGACGTAGTGAGGAATCGCTTTAATCGTAATCATGTTCATTGACCATCAGGACGATGAATGCACATCATCATAATGATGTTTCGACATCATGATAATGATGTTCTGACATCATATAAAGATGTAAACCGAACCACACCATATAACGATGTTAGCACATAATATAAAGACATCTGTACATGATATAAGATAATTTGCACATCATATAAGACCATTTGAACATCATATAAGATAATTTGCACATCATATAATATAATTTGCACATCATATAATATAATTTGCACATCAGATAATGTCAAATTGTCATCATATAAAGGTGATTGCATATCGTATAAAGGTGATTGCACATCACATAATGCCGTTTCTACATCGTATAAGGAAAGCATCACATAATATAAGGACTCAATCACATAACATAATGGAAAAAGCACATCATTTAATGAATTGTGGACATGATATAAAGATGTTTTCACCTCATAAAAATGTGTTTGGACAGCATATAAGGACAACTTCACATCATATAATGACAAGTGTACATCATATAAGGACAAGTTCACATCACATAATGACAAGTGTACATCATATAAGGATAAGTACACATCATATAATGTCATTTGCACATCATATAAGGGTAAAATGACATCATATAATGGCAAATGAACATCATATAATGAGAAATGTCATAATAAGACAGTGTCGGCGTTCCATACAACAAGGCATCATTCGTATCTTTGTATCTTTCGCCTCTCTTTTAGAAGTAGAATTAAATGTGTCTAACTTAAATATAATTTGAATGAAATGTTCTGCACAAGAACCAGGGAATTAAGTCAGAATGGTTTGCTTGATAAAAAGTTTTTCCCTCTGTAATTGCCATCTACTAGTATCACACATCTGAATACAGGACATAGAAAAATTAACTATATGCTTTATACATTTAAACCTTACTGCTGCAACGGTTCAATGACCTCTGTATGGAAAGTGTGAACCAGAAAATGATTGATTAGTGTTCACACTTTCCATACAGTCACAGTGGTGATAATGTATGAGAATAAAAAACTAAAATGGGTGAGGTCGCCTCCCAGCAAACACGTAACGTTTGTATAACGTTATGTTTACGTCAGATTTACGTTATGTTAAGATATAACGTTAAATTAACATTATTAAAACGTTCTAACTAAACGTTACCTAGAAACCAATTGGTAACGTTATTTTGTTTTGTTTATATAACGTTAAATTAACATTATAATCCTAACGTCTAATTTGTAATGTTGTACTCACGTTCAAGTAATGTTAAAATATCAACGTTATTTAAAAAACCAAAATAGTACGTAAAATTATTACCACAGTAAAACGTCTGAATAACATTTTTCGAGTACATTAATTTGTAACATTTACATAACGTTCTTATAACATAACTTGAGAAACGTTCAATTACTGACCTTGTTATAACGTAATATTGTAACGTTAATTGAACGTTGTTTTAACATTAAAAAAGTCGTTCTTCATCATACCAACAATTCAACATGTGAAATTTCTTAAAAACTGAGCCTAGAAGGTAGGGTAAATGTACAATAAAATATAATATTAAATCTATGTTAGTTAAACATGATCAATATATCAACCCTTTTTATCATTTTGATTATATTGATTTGTCATTTTTTTACAAGCATAATGCAAATGCTTTTCTCTTAACGTTCTTTAAACACGTTGTTCTTACGTAAATATGACGTTAATTGTCGACGTTATTTTTAAAACCCTAAACCTACGTTAATTCAAACGTCATTACAATGTTTGAACAACGTTTTTGAATACGTCAATCTTCAACATTTACATAACGTTCTAATAACATAACATGAGAAACGTTCAATTACTGACCTTGTTCTAACGTAATATTGTAACGTTTATTGAACGTTGTTTTAACATTAAAAAAAGTCGTTCTTCCTCATACCAACAATTAAACATGTGAAATTTCTTAAAAACTGAGCCTAGGAGGCAGGGTAAATGTACTTTAAAATATAATGTTAAATCTATGTTTTTCAAACATTATCAACATATTAACCCTTTAAATTATTTTGATTATATTTAGTTATTTTACTAGCATAATGCAAACGTTATTCCCATAACGTTTTTGAATGCGTTGTTCTTACGTAAATATTAGGTTAAATGTCGACATTACTTCTAAAACCCTAATACAACGTTAATCTAAACGTCATTACAATGTTTAAACAACGTTTTTGAATACGTCAATCTTCAACATTTACATAACGTTCTTATAACATAACATGAGAAACGTTCAATTATTGACCTTGTTATAACGTAATATTGTAACGTTAATTGAACGTTGTTTTAACATTAAAAAAGTCGTTCTTCGTCATACCAACAATTCAACATGTGAAATTTCTTAAAAACTGAGCCAATAAGGAGGCGATGGAAAATGTACTTTAAAATATAATTTCAACCCAATCTTATGAATAAATATGACTAACATATTAACCCTTTAAATTATTTAATATTATGATTATTTTTATTTATTAATTTTACAAGCATAATCAAAATGTTATTCTCATAACGTTCTTTAAAATACGTTGTTCTTACGTTAATATGAGGTTACTTCTAAAACCCTAAATCTACGTTGATTTAAACGTCATTACAATGTAAAAGTAATGTTTTTTCAATACGTCAAGCTTCAACATTTACATAACGTTCTTATAACATAACCTACAGGGGCGGATCCAGCCATTTTCAAAAGGGGGGGTTCCCAACCCAGGATAAAGGGGGGGTTCCAACTATATGTCCCCATTCAAATGCATTGATCGTCAAAAAAAAGGGGGGTTCCAACTATATGTCCCCATTCAAATGCATTGATCGTCAAAAAAAGGGGGGGTTCCAACCCCCGGAACCCTCCCCCCCCCACCCACCCCTGGATCCGCCACTGACCTAAGAAACGTTTAGTTACTGACCTTGTTATAACGTAATATTATAACGTTTATTCATGGAACCAGAGAAATATATTATATGTCTCTGATGGAACGTTGTTTTAACATTTAAAAAAGTAGTTTTTCTTCATATCGACAATATAACGAGCAATATAAAAAGGAAAGTTAAGTTGAACTTCTGTAACACGAGCTAAGTCGAAGGGGAAACATAAACGTACTTTGAAAATATAATTTTTTAAATTTAATGTTTAAACTGTGATATAGTCACGTGGGTAAAGACGGATTTTACGCGGTTTTTAGTTTCGAACTATAAATTCTAAACTTATTTTCAACAACTAATAACGATATGTTTAAATAAAAGCAAATAGCGTTTATATATCTATAAAAAAATAAAAAATTTTGTTAGTTTTTGAAAAAAAATATTTTAGAACTTATAGCTTTGCTTTCTTTCAATATTTCCCGCTCTTAGAACTATCTTCTGCCGACATCTCACACGACTCACTATAAATTATAATACAGCCTCAGCATATCAAATAACACACCAAGGTAAGCAGGAAGACGGATGTATATGTGTGTGTGTGAGTTTTAATTAACCACTTTTGGTAAGGAAGTGCTTTTTCCGTATCCACGAAAACTTTTTTGCAAATTTCTGACGTCAGATTTTCAGGGGGACGGAAGGGGGTTCTACAATTTACAAACAATTTCATACAGATCCAGTTCCTGTGCCATACATAATTTTTCATAAGGAAATAATGGCCTTCGGTTCTTTTAACTTGGGGTGGTCCCAACCCTAGTGAAGTAGTCCAAATAATTATGATGTACGTCTTGAAAGGCTATTTTAATTTTTTGCTGTGAGCCGTCCCCGTCACAGCAAAAAATGTTAAATAGCCTTTCAAGACATCATAATTATTTGGACTAGACTAGTGAAGATGATAATGATGCCTGTGGCAGAGTTCTCAAAAAGTGGTTGTCCGAAGGCTTTGACCAACAAAATTATTCAAGAACCAACACAATTTTTGTATTTTGCAATAGAAATAATACTATTAATAGTGAGGACCATCAGATTTTAATTCTTCAAGGACCATCAGGGAAAAAAAGATTTCAAGAACTCTGCTGCGGAGGGTATTTTATATTTTAATTTGATATTTAATATTCCCCAAGTCATTCACAGAAATTAAATTTAAGCCTAAGCCAGGCTAAGGCATCAGATCAAAAATTAAAAGAATTCCAAGAAGTCACAACTTGAACTCCCGTATGAAAAACTTGACACGTACTCCAGCCGGACAGTAGCCGTACTGTAGCCGTACTGAGAACCGTACTTATAATATTCATTTGGAATTTTCTTTGAATTGCTTATAATAGATAATAGATACCCCGGCTGGACTTTCAGCGAAATTAGCCGTAAACCGGCTCGAAATATTTAAATTAGCAGGAGTCCGGTTCTTTAAGTCCAGCTGGACTTTAATTAAGGTACGTCTGAAAAAAAAACCAGCCGGCATTTCTGGCAAAAATATGGACTCTATAAAGTTCATCTGGACTTTACAAAGTCCGGCTGAACTTTAAAAAGTCCAGCTGAACTCTATAAAGTCCAGCTGGACTTCAAAAAGTGCAGTTTGACTTTTAAAGATGATTTCAGCAGGGACGAATCCAGCCATTTTCAAAAGGGGGGGTTCCTAACTCAGAATAAGGGGGGGGGGGGGGGGGGGTCCAACCATATGTCCCCATTCAAATGCATTGATTGTCAAAATAATGGGGGGGGGGGGTTCCGACCCCCGGAACCCTCTCCCTGGATCCGCCACTGCTCTGTTTTTCTTCAGATGGTTGATTCTTCTGATTTGATTTGCATCATGCATCGATCCCTTGCTATAATCTGAAAATACAAAAAAAAAAAACAGATGATATTATGCATATATACTGGTTATTTCTTTTTCTTTTTTGTACTGTCTTACTGGCAAAACCAAGAAATGGGGAATTGAGAAGCTAAATGCTAACTTCTAAAAAATTGTGGTTATAATAGCCTAAATAATTTTAAAGTGGCTAAAAATAAAATAAAGTTACTCAAAGTGTAGAAATCAAAAAACTTTCAAAACAACTCAAATAATAACCATTCCTTAATACAGAGGGAATAAAAAATATAACAATACATTTTTTAACATAACAATTCAAAACAGGAAGTGACAGTGACATAACAGACAAGATGAAAATTATTGCATGAATATAAAATATTTGATTTAGGTTTTTTATTCTTTTTCACTCTTCAAAAATAAGAATTAAGCTATATTTATAATATTGTAATTATTTTATTAATATGTTGAATAAAAAGAGCATATCAGATTATATCACCAAAATGGTGGAATTCAATTTATTGTACTTACCAGAATATGCAATCCAAAACACATGCAAACAGCAATCTTCCTAAATTCTCATTGATGCCAGTCAGAAGGATCCATCTTCTCTATTTAATGTGAAAAGAACTACTTCCAAACATTTGCTTTACATCCAATTATGTAAAATTCTCATTTTGTTCAAGAAAGAAGACACATCTTCCTCAGTGTTTATTCCAAATTCAAAGTTGTTGTATTGCAATACATGAGGTTGTTTAAGGAGTTGTTTTAAATGTTCCTCTTATGACTAATTGCATGTGCCTTAATTTTGAATATGTGATATATTAAAAAAAGAAAATCAATTATTAATTTGTTTAATTATGAAATTTTTAATAAGTGATAGTAATTGCAGAAATATGTATTTCGAAATGTGTTCTCCTACATATGGCCTCAATCTCTGTGGAGATAGAACTTCCTGTGACCTGTCCAGACTGAGGTTAATTGAAAACAGATGGCACATTTCTATAAGACTAACTGCTATTAAATCACTGTTATATGGCTCAAGTTTCTAATTGATGTTTAAGAATGAATGATAATTATTAATTTTATGCATTCATCTAATTGAATATAAATATACTAGAAAATGTATAAATCTAACCTGTAACAGATGTTGCTAGTGTTTTTTTTTTATGAAAAAAGTAGAAATGTTAAATAATTGTTGTATTAAACATATTAACTTGGATATAATTCAATCAAAAGTCACCAAAATTAAATTTTAACTTTCCATCAACAGTCTATGTTTAATATTCCATGATGGAATTGAAAATCTAGGGAAAGTATCACATCTTATAGTTTGAACTAAAAGTATATTGCAAAAAATTATTTTATCATTATTATTACTTGCAAACTTTCATTTTTAACTGTTTTACATTTTGAAAGAATTGTTCCTTTCAAAGAAAAGAATCTATTGTGGCAAACTTTTTATTTTTGTAAGGGTATAAGATCTGGCTGATGAAAATTTTCTAAGTCTAAATTCCTGCTCATAAATGAATGTAAAATTTTCTAAGACAAAAATCCTGCTGATCATTCTACAGAAAGAATAAATTTCCTCAAAAGTCCAGCCGTGTTTATTTTCTTGTCAGCATTACAAAAAGTGCGGTTGGACTTTTAAGAAAATACCGGCTGGCTAATAACCCAAGTATAAGAAAAAGTACGTGTACGGCTCATGTCAGACTGGACTTTTCAAAGTCAGACTGGAATACGTCTCAAGTCCAGCTGGAGTCCAGTTGAACTCCTGTTGAAATTTTCATACGGGAATAATTTGACACAAAACTGACAAAAGTAAACTCGCCCAATTAATTTAGAGTTCTTGAAAAGAGTCGGTCCAAATCAATCAAATATAAATTGGAAATTTAATACTGATATTTCAAACTTTCAGTCAAAACCTCCCACAACCAGACATGAATTAATATATGTATACATTTATGTGCCCACAACACAAGAATCCAGTACCTTCATTAACTTGAGGAACTTTAGCAGTAGGGTCAGGTATAGCTCGGTAAGGGTTAGGATTAAAGTTCTTAAGAAATATGGCCATGTGTACACCAGAATTTCTGAAAATATCTGTATATATATATGTTAAAAAATAATGAGATGCAGATTGATCTACTCTGCTAAATTTGGGTCTGCAGTATTAAGAAAAACGTGTACACTAAAAACAAATAATTATGTTTGTAATTGTATCAAATTTACAGTGAACAAAAAAAGATTTAACTGTTATTAAATAAAATATTCAAGTAAAAGTAAAAATTTATTATTTATATATAAGTTTTTGGAAATTTGAAAACTGTCTTTATCAAAAATTCTAATTATATGCAAGCAATGGACTATTGTACACATTGCTTGCTTTGCAAAGTTATTAGCTATATATAATTAAAATTGCATTGTATTAGAGTACATAGTTCCATCATTATTTTGTTGTACATTTTCTGGCTGCAAATTATGTAAATGGTTAACTATTTTAAGTTGAAACAATGTATATAAAATTTTCAACACAAATGTTAAAATGGTTGTATTCTGTCAGTCAAGGAATAATCCTTATATATTTTTTTCATGTAGATTATACTTGTATATGCATGTTAATTAAGTAAGCTTTAAATAATCTCTTTTTATGCTGAGAACTACAAAAATTTTCTTACAACAAGTACATGTAATTTTTTAAGTAGCACCATTTTGATTGATATCTTTTTCTTTAGGCATCTGCTAAAGAAATATAGGGTGATATCATAGAGTGTAATTTTTCCCCTTTTTTATAGACCCTTGACTGAAAGTGATATGATTTTCCTGAAATAACATAAATTTCACAGAGTGCAACCATTTATACATAATACTTCATTTAGTACTTTTATTAGCTTTTGTTTGTTAGCTCAACCAAGGATCTGTATAGTGAGACAAATCCTTGACTCAACTAGGTAAATTAAAAAGGTCATGTGATCATATGCCATCACTTGGCATCCTTTGTGATTAAAAAAAAATCTCCTTTGATTTTAACTAAACTTGGACTGAATGATCCTCAGGGTACCTAGTATAAATTATTGTTTTTTATTCCTGTCAGTCAGCAAGTATGCCCACTATGGGTAAAAATAGAACATAAGGGTCAAATGCTTATAGGGTGTTCGCTGATCTTGTTTATGACTTTTTGTCAGATATTCAGAATTCCTCTGGTTTTATCCATGTAGTGCCATTACAATTTTGGGTGCTTACCCCTAATTTTCTATTCATAATTTTATTACATAGACATAAAGTTTAAAAAGCCATTTTTGTAAGTCTTATTTTTTTCAAAGTTTTTACACATGTTGAAAGAAAAAAGGTGCCAATGTTAAATATAAAAAAAACAGTTCAATTTGTGGTCTGCGTTAGTTAGGTCAATTTTGTTCAAAAACAAATTCAACAATTGGGAAGGAAAAAAACAATACATTTAAGCTCAATGTTAAATTGCTGGATAAAAACAATTTAGCACAGTGTAGGAATATTGTACAATATTGTATATGTACATGATGTATATAACAGTCTTTAAAAAATCTTGTTATTCAGAAACAGAACAGCTGATCGTCTTTTGTCTTGAAAAGCATTACAGACAGAGCAAAAGTATCTAAATGTCAAAATCTACTCACTGTCTTACGTACTTCCTCTTATCAACAAAATTATCAGATGTCTGATTTA